AGTTGTTGTTGATGTTTTAGATTCAGCTACTCGAAACAAAACGTTCCATGCAGCACGGGCAATGGTGAGCCCCTAGTGGACTTACCATATGACTAAGTTTTTTTTTTTTTTAGATCTGTCAGCTCTTTCTATGACACTTCATTAATAAACGAATATCCCAATCTGTGTATAACAAGTTATTTCTATATATATATATATATATATATATATATATATATATATATATATATATATATATATATATATATATATATATATATATATATATATAGCAGTCTGTGAATATCTAAATATATAGTTATTTACTGAGAATCAGAGATTTTTAGTGAGCCCCTTCTCGTGCAATTGAGTCTTTTAAAACTATTAACAACCTAACTTATCACATATTAAATCTTGACGATCGAGCCCAAGTCACTAGAATCCCTTCTCCAAGTTGATTTCGAGGGACACGGCCCAATAAGCTCAATAATGAGATCCGCGCATCTCACCAGGTGTTGGACTCCCTCTGGGGGTTTAAAGTGCACACACAGACGTGTGTTGAGGCAGCATGCCATTTGTTCATGCAACAATCATATATCCTTTGATAGCCACTGTGAGCTGTTCGTCACAGTGTGGACACGGATTACACTGATGGGTCTATACGTGACTTAATGTTGCACACGGAGGCTGTTTTAGTCTATGGCAGTAAATGCTTCCTAAATTAACGCAATCAAAATGCCTTGCCTAGCTAACCAAGTCACCGGCAGATCGACAGGAGTATTGACCGGGTCGGGGGGTTAATGACCCCGGCAGGCGGGTCAATGACCGAGCACATGACGGATCATACCCTATCTCGGATGCTGGAATGCGCTGTAAACGTCTGCATATGCATAAAGAAGGAGAAAGTGGTGGCATCTGTTGTCTGTGCCACTAACAAACACCCATGTGTGCATTCACACACACACACACACACACACACACACACACACACACACACACACACACACACACACACACACACACACACAGCACACAAGTGGAAATTGAGTGCACAAATGAGCCATAAAGACATTATTAAGAATTTTTGTAGTTTCATAGTATTAATAAATTAAATGCGTTAGGCAGTGATGTGGTGGAGGCAGACTCCATACACAGTTTCGAATGTAGATATGATGGAGCCCAGGAGGCTCAGGAACCTGTGCACCTGTTGATTGACGGTTGAGAGGCGGGACCAGAGAGCCGAAGCTCAACACCCCCCGCAAGCACAACTAGGTGAGTACACACTTCCTGCTATTCTATTCATGTGTGGTTCAGGAAGTGTAGCCGCCGCCCTCTGGCCCTCATGCAAAATTCCTGCCGTCCCCTGTCTCCCATGCAATGCAGCATGGGAGACATGGGGCGCCACCCCATGTCTCCCATGCAACGCGGCTGTCGCTCCGTGTCTCCCATACAATGCTGATATTTCGCATCTCCCATGCTGTGTTGATGTCTCGTGTCGCCCCATGCAAATCAGTTGTCGTCCAGTCTGTCACCCATGCAATGCAGCTGCAGGTTTGTGTCTCCTATTCAATGCAGATGTCGGCCAGTGTCTCCTATGCAATGCTGATGTCGTCCCGTGTCCCGCAGGTATTGTAGTTGTCGTCCGGGTCTCCCATGCAATGCCTCCCAATGCTGATGTCATTCCGGATCTCCCATGAAATGATGATGTCATTCCGGATCTCATATGAAATGATGCTGTCCCGTGTTGCCCATGCTAAGCAGATGTCATCCCGGATCTTTATGTAATTCTGATGTCATCCGATCCTCCTAGGTAATGCAGATGTTGCCGCGTTTTGCCATGCAATACATCTGTCGTCACGTATCTCCCATGCCATGCCAGGGGAGATACGGTCTCCCATGCAATGCTGATGTTATCCAGGGTCTTCCATGCAATGCTGATGTCCTCTCGGCTTCCGTGCATTCTTATCATTTTATTCCAACTTTTCCTGAGTTCATTTTAAAAAATTTTATCCGAAGAACGAAAGTTACATGAAATATATCTTTTTACCAGATGCTCGGGCTTGTAGACTATCAAGATTTGACTCTGGTAGCCTGAGTAGCCAATAGTTTCCGGTGACGATTCTTATCTCTGCTTGACTGCTTTATAAATGCTCCCAAATCTTGAACGATCCTCTATTACTGTCATCGCATACTTAAAGAAATATCAAAGTCAACAAATTCTGTTAGTGAGCGTGTTAGTTTAGTGTTGGGTTTTGGGACTATGAACCTCTAGAGGGTTATTAAGTCCCACACAATCGTTTTTGGATCCATCTGCAAATGTACTTTAGTCTTGAATATTGTTCAGAACTAAAGAAAACTCTCAATGTAGATATACCGAGAAGATAAGTACATTTATGTGTATGTGTGTGTGTGTGTATATACAGTGTGTATATTTATACCTCTGGGTGTATATACACTCCAGGAAGCGAGCATGAAGCACGAACAGTCAGTCCAGTGTGGCCACAGTTGAGCTGCACATCATTCATATTTTAATTTCGTTTAGAATGCGGGTTGAAAAGGGGGGGAGAATGGGGGGGGGGGAACAAGACACGCCTCCTCAAATTTGAATACAGGATTTACGCGCTCCGTCCATGAAGAACGCACCGCGGGGGGATTAAATATACGCTCGTACCTTACCAGTTCAAAAGTTTTAGCGGTAACATAATCCATTGCTCCAATAACTCACCCAGGAAATTACCTGTCATGGCCATCGTATGAACGAGCTCCGGTGCTCCAAATTTTCTGGTTGGTTCTGTCTCAGCGATCTATTGGGTGCTGAGAACGAGTCGCGTTGGCTTAAATGTAAACAAAAAAACATTTATATAATATCGTTGAGGCATTGTAGAATGACTCGGAAGTGCATAGACCTTCTATGTACTCCCGGAGTGACTGATACCGTATAGTGACTGATACCCGTATAGTGACTGATACCGATCTACCAACCCGTTCTCTGGGTATGCTCGTCCAAGCTACGGCCGACGCCAATAACCCATTCAGCAATTTTAATTGGGCTGTTCATTGAAAATTAGTATTTACTCAAATAATATCATTCTTCCTCTCTAGGGTTTAAAATCCAAGTCGTTGTTTCTTGCGAGGCAAGTGGGTTCAGGGTGTACGCCACTGTTCCACAGAGAGTTGTTTGTATTTGTTCATTCACTTCATATTACAGTAAATGCTGTAATATGAAGAATATGTAAATGCTGTAAATGCTTTTTCTTCTCAAATTGTGTATTTTCGCTTTGTCTCTTACACGGGAGACACAGATCGAGATAATTGCTACAAGTCGCTGACGGGTAGAGTTCACACATGTCAACAAACTCGACCAGAGAAAACTGGGAAACTCAGAAAATGACATAAAGATGCTGCCACCTGTTGGTGGACACAGCTCTTGACAGGACGAGTGTGGGTTGTGTTTATGCGATCACCAGCCCTGAGTAACTAGTGATAATGTTTATTACTGGAACGTTCCTAACGTTCATTACTAGAACTAGAACAATGGCTTCCATTGGTGTCTGGATTCCGGAAGCTGCTGCTGCTCCTGCTTTTTCTCTGTGTGTTGGCACCATGGGCCTGCCTTTACCCCTCGACCAGAACTTTGTTACTTTATCTGGCATTATTCTTAGTCCTGCAACTGTCCCTTGACCTGCCACTGTCCCTAGACCTGCTACTGTCCCTTGACCTGCTAGTGTTCTTAGATCTGTTACTGTTCTTTGACCTGTCACTGTCCTTAAACCTGTTACTGTTCCTGGATCTGCCGTTTTCTCTGAATTTTCCACTTGGACGTCCTGGATTCCTATTTCAGTTGGCCCCATAAAACGGCAACCCTTCTACACCTTTCAGTTCACGGCGCATGCTGAACCCCATCCCCACCCCCCTGCTATATATCACTCATTATCAGGCTCTGTGCAGTGGTACACCTTTGCCTATATTCTGTGAAAGAAACGTTTCGATCGTGATCTGTAGAGGAAGTAGAAGGTTGGTGGAGCAGAAAGCTATTGATGTAGGTACTCTTTACTTATCAACTTTGCACGGTAACTGTTAGTAATCTGCAAGAAGTCCGTTCCGAAGTTTTAATGAAAATGTGTTGACATCGTTTTAAAGCATGAATAATTTGTTTTGGACTGAAATAATGCTACTGTCTAAGACACTAATTGTAAGATTTCCATGGTAACGTGTTGGCATTTAAAACGTGATTTTTTTTGTTAATTCAGTCTCAAATACTGTCGTGATCTTTGCAGCTACACTATCGGGTGGGGGCCACGAGAGCTTGGTGTGGGCCGAGGTGGGTTGACGATAGGGGCCACCAAAACTTGGTGGTGGCCCTAGATAAGTGTGTGGGTTGGTGAGTGCCTTCTTACCTGACGAATAAGCTTTATTACTTAATTTCGAATCCCTTCAAAAAATCCGGCTATCTCTTAGCATGAAAAATAAAGAACACAGGAAAAATAAAGAGTATTGGGATGAAAATATGACTATGCATGGATCTCTGTGTACGCGCGTATACAAAATAGAGTTCTCGGTGGTAGAACAAAAGAGTGCTTCCTTAGGAGTTGTGGCAGGTAAGCGGAGGAGGCAGTGCATAATGCCGTACCTTTAACGACCAAGGCCCTGGCCGGCGCAGAAGATTTTCCAGTTTATGTTGGCCTGCTGGCCTTAATGGCGTAATCAGGGCCACACACCTGCACACAAGAGTGTTTATGGCCACATTACTGTCAGACTCGGATAAACAGCCACGATAATTTTGATGGATAATGATTAGGCTCTCCTGCTCCGCCTCCGGTTCCAGGTAGAAACTGATTATTTATATGAAGAAAGTTCTTGGCTTGGGTGAAAATATAAATGATAAAAAATGGATGATTTTGGAATTCCATGTTGGTGTTTCTTGAGATATAAGATCACAGAGTATGAGGCGAGATACGTCACTTTTAGCCCTTCATCCGGCATCCTCGGGAACTCCCTACTACATATGTCGTGTATGCCACATGCCTTCCATGATGCACATGCCTTCCATGATGCACATGCCTTCCATGATGCACATGCCTTCCATGATGCACATGCCTTCCATGCTTCACATGCCTTCCATGCTTCACATGCCTTCCATGCTTCACATGCCTTCCATGATGCACATGCCTTCCATGCTTCACATGCCTTCCATGATGCACATGCCTTCCATGATGCACATGCCTTCCATGATGCACATGCCTTCCATGATGCACATGCCTTCCATGATGCACATGCCTTCCATGATGCACATGCCTTCCATGATGCACATGCCCTCCACCTTGCTACTATGTAATTTCAACTCGACGTCCCATAAATCTGTTGTGGTTGGACCTGCCACGTATTTACGTTAACCTTGTGGAAACTGGTGCGAGGTTCACTGCTTCTGTGTTCCTCAACTCATTCCTTATACCAGAACTCTTCTATTCATACCCTCCACAAATTCCCCTTCGCTGATAGCTTTCAATAGTGCCTATATATATGTCATGCTCAATTATCCTCTACCTGGCATGCCCAGCCTCCACCTGGCCTACCCGGCTTTCACCTGGCCTACCCAGCCTCCACCTGGCCTGCCCAGCCTCCACCTGGCCTGCCCAGCCTTCACCTGACCTGCCCAGCCTCCACCTGGCCTGCCCAGCCTTCACCTGACCTGCCCAGCCTCCACCTGGCCTGCCCAGTCTCCACTTGGGCTGCCCAGCCTCCACCTGGCCTGGCCTGCCTCCACCTGACCTACCCAGCCTCCACCTGGCCTGCCCAGCCTTCACCTGACCTGCCCAGCCTCCACCTGGCCTGCCCAGCCTCCACCTGGCCTGCCCAGCCTCCACCTGGCCTGCCCAGCCTCCACCTGGCCTGCCCAGCCTCCACCTGGCCTGCCCAGCCTTCACCTGACCTGCCCAGCCTCCACCTGGCCTGCCCAGCCTCCACCTGGCCTTCCCAGCCTCCACCTGACCTACCCAGCCTCCACCTGGCCTGCCCAGCCTCCACCTGGCCTGCCCAGCGTCCACTTGGCATGCCCAACCTCCACCTGGTCTACCCAGCCTCCACCTGGTCTACCCAGCCTCCACCTGGCCTGCCCAGCCTCCACCTGGTCTACCCAGCCTCCTCCTGACCTGCCCAGCCTCCACCTGGCCTACCCAGCCTCTACCTGGCCTGCCCAGCGTCCACTTGGCATGCCCAACCTCCACCTAGTCTACCCAGCCTCCTCCTGACCTACCCAGCCTCCACCTGGCCTACCCAGCCTCCACCTGGCCTGCCCAGCCTCCACCTGGGCTGCCCAGCCTCCACTTGGGCTGCCCAGCCTCCACCTGGCCTACCCAGCCTCCACCTGGCCTGCCCAGTCTCCACTTGGGCTGCCCAGCCTCCACCTGGCCTGCCCAGCCTCCACTTGGCCTGCCCAGCCTCCACCTGGCCTGCTCAGCCTCCACCTGGCCTGCCCAGCCTCCACCTGGCCTGCCCAGCCTCCACCTGGCCTGCTCAGCCTCCACCAGGCCTGCCCAGCATCCACTTGGCCTACCCAGCCTCCACCTGGCCTGGCCTGCCTCGCTCCCACCTGAGGAGTGAATGAGTTTAATTAAGGAAAGCACCGCCTTATGCCAGCTGAGTCTCTTGCCTCCCAGGACACAGAGTTTACACCTGTTGTAAAGCATGACTTCGGTCTGTAGGGGACAGGTTAATGAGAAAGAAAACCCAGGTAAAAATTTCTCTCTCTCTCTTCTCTCTCTCTCTCTCTCTCTTCTCTCTCTCTCTCTCTCTCTCTCTCTCTCTCTCTCTCTCTCTCTCTCTCTCTCTCTCTCTCTCTCTCTCTCTCTCTCTCTCTCTCTCTCTCTCTCTCTCACCTCGGTCTGGAATATGTAAATACATTTTATTTTTTGCTATTTTTTTCCAATTCCGTGTTTTTAAGAACTTCGAAAATATTTTGTCTTTAATGTTTGTGGAAATTTAGGCAACGAACTATTTCTAGAATGTAATTAACCATCATTTTAATCAGGTGCTTCCAGCAAACACAACAACGTAAATACAACGTTTTTTTTTTAACGATATTGGGTATTAAAAAAACGTTGTGACGTAAATAAAAGTAAACATAACATTATGTTATGTTTGCAGAGATGCTTTCTCTTCTTTATATATATATATATATATATATATATATATATATATATATATATATATATATATATATATATATATATGCTGCGAAGAACGAGCCATCAGTTACGTCATGTTAACGAGTTTCGTTCTGGAATACGATTTTTAAGATATTATGGCTATAGGTGTTTCACTGAAATTGCTCATCATGATTTCCTGAACGTTTATTGGTAGTGAATAACATACAAATAGGCCGATGCGATAGAAAACCTGGAGAACCTGAGCTTTTTAATATTGATGAATGGTGTCGGGAACTCCAAATAAGCGACGCTCAGAGACGATTGGAATCCATACCAAGCGAGGAGTGGGAGCCGCAGGGGAAAACCATGTTCCTTCGTCATTCTTACCTAAGTATAGAACACCTTTCAAACGCCTTATTGAAACCCATTATTTTGTTTTTTTAGATCAGTTTTGCATATTGCAATCCAGATGTGTATTCTGAAACACACAGTGGTACGAAAGCTCTGAAACTTGTGCGTTGTGTGCATTTATGCTCGGGGGATCCTGGGGTTCGATTCTCGAGTAGGAAGGAACGCTTTCTTTCACCTAGTGCCTCTGTTCATCTGACAGTGAATAGGCGCCCGGGAGTAAGGTAAATGTTGTGTGGGTTGCACCCTGTGAAGAGTCAGTAGTTCGTCCTTGGGGGTGACTAGATACTGGCCTAAATTGTATATATACAAAGGGTTCCTGTCCCTGTCAAAATGAATTATTATAAAGAACGTGAACGAGTGGGTATTCAACTAGTTGTGCTTGCGGGGGTTGAGCTCTGCTCTTTCGGCCCGCCTCTCAACTGTCAATCAACTGGTGTACAGATTCCTGAGCCTACTGGGCTCTATCATATCTACATTTGAAACTGTGTATGGAGTCAGCCTCCACCACATCACTGCCTAATGCATTCCATCCGTTAACTACTCTGACATTGAAAAAGTTCCTTCTAACGTCCCTGCAACCTGTGTGTGTGTGTGTGCGTGTGTGTGTGTGTGTGTGTGTGTGTGTGTGTGTGTGTGTGTGTGTGTGTGTGTGTGTGTGTGTGTGTGTGTGTGTGTGTGTGTGTGTGTGTGTGTGTGTGTGTGTGTGTAGGGGAGGACTATGCCCTGGCCCACACACCAACTGATTGCGGGAACTGACGTTTGCGATTATACTGCAATTGTATTGGTCCCCGATGAAATCTAGGAGGGAAGCAGCACCGGTTGAGGGGACGGAGGGAGGTAGGTAGGTTTTCTCTCTTTTTAGGAAACGAGATGGAGAGGTGTAGGTGAAGGTAAACGTTTTGGAAATGTGGGATGTAGAATGAGTTACAGCAACGGGGCTGTCCGCCTTGCTGACACGATGTGTATCCGTTTCTTAGCCAAACTAAACTTGCTTTCCTTTGTCAGGGTTGGGAGTGTTTGTATAGGTTGTCCCATGTATTTCAACATGTATGGATGTGTATAGATGAATAGCATTCACACATACACACTCGAATGCTTGAGTGCACGTTTTAATGATTTTTTGTTGGGGGGAGGAAGAAGAGGTTTAGGGGTGTATGTATTTATTTCATCGTGGGATTATGTATTCCTTGGGGCTTGGTTTCCAGCGAGTTGATCGAGGCTCTTGGGCCACCAACTGTGGGATTGGGGCGTCTGATCTTAAAGACGGGAGACATCTCCCGTCACGCAGGGTGCAGTCGCACCTCCACAGATCTCCAGTATCATATATTGATACTGGTGATGGCTCAAAAGGGCCACCACTTACGGGCTATTCATGCCTGTGCCACCTTTTGGGTGGCTTAATTTTCAACAATCATCAATCTGATCTTAAAGTACGCTTTCGGGTATTTAGCCGATTCGATGGTGTTCCAAACTCAGGTGGCTTGCTGTTGTAGTCTATTGTTCAGTGGTTGTATGTTCGGGGCTTTATGAAGGGAGAAGCAGCACTGGTGGATGGGAGGAAGGGATGGGAAGTAGCACCACCACCATACAACAACCAGCACTCGACAACACACTCCGATCTCCACAATAACAACCATAATTAACACAACAACACACATTTCCGTGTTAACCCACCCGAGAAAAGTTCGAACACAACCTATTGATTCGAACGTCGAGGATGTTATCATCCTTGATCATTTGACCAATGCTCTAAGGATCTGCTGTTGTAGATTAACGTTCCTATGAAAGCATTTATTCACTTCTTTTATATAAAGCTGGTCATGATTTCTTCGGTTAAAAACAAAATTGATTGCCAAATGAAAAGTGAAAATATAATTTCCCCTTTCTGGCCAACGAAGAGGGGACGTTTAAAAGTGGCCGTCATGGCTTTTCGATGTCACAGCCACGCTTGAGAGTTGTTATAATAGTTATCAAAAGAACCATTACGCCCCTACAGTAGTATATATATATATATATATATATATATATATATATATATATATATATATATATATATATATATATGACAATGTCAGACCACGGAGGAAAAATGAAACAGGAAATTTCCTTAAGTACTTTCGTATATTAAATACATCTTCAGAAGGTCCTTCAGAAGGACCTTCTGAAGATGTATTTAATATACGAAAGTACTTAAGGAAATTTCCTGTTTCATTTTTCCTCCGTGGTCTGACATTGTCACATTCTTAATCACGTGTTTATTTTCGTGATATACACACATATATATATATATATATATATATATATATATATATATATATATATATATATATATATATATATATGTCGTACCTAGTAGCCAGAACGCACTTTTCAGCCTACTATGCAAGGCCCGATTTGCCTAATAAGCCAAGTTTTCCTGAATTAATATATTTTCTCTAATTTTTTTCTTATGAAATGATAAAGCTACTCATTTCATTATGTATGAGGTCAATTTTTTTTATTGGAGTTAAAATTAACGTAGATATATGACCGAACCTATCCAACCCTACCTAACCTAACCTAACCTATCTTTATAGGTTAGGTTAGGTTAGGTAGCCGAAAAAGTTAGGTTAGGTTAGGTTAGGTAGGTTAGGTAGTCGAAATGCAATTAATTCATGAAAACTTGGCTTATTAGGCAAGTCGGGCCTTGAATAGTAGGCTGAGAAGTGAGTTCTGGCTACTAGGTACGACATATATATATATATATATATATATATATATATATATATATATATATATATATATATATATATATATATATGACTACACGTGCGAATCAACCCTGGCTAACACCTACATTAACCTCAGTGTTGCACAACCAGGTGGCGCTGCCACCCACAGGAAGCAGCCAAATCCCGTAAGTATAGTGAACTGGATCACCACTACAATTTTGTCACCATTGCTTCTGAGACACTCGGCGCCTGGGGTAAAAGTGCTACCAGTTTTTTGAAGGAACTGGGTTCTAGGCTCATTGAAACAACAAGGGACCCAAGAGCTGCAAGCTTTCTTTTCCAGCGCCTCAGTGTGGCAATACAGAGGGGAAATGCGCACTGCATCCAGGGTTCCTGCCCGCCATCTGAGGAGCTGGAGGAACTCGACAACCTATGATAACCATCTTTGTAACCCATATGTAACTCCTTTTTTGTAACAAAGTTCAAATAAAGTAATATATATATATATATATATATATATATATATAATATATATATATATATATATATTTTTTTTTTTTTTTTTTTTTTAATCCCTAGAAGGGGTACCACCTCTGGTGCAAGTGTAGGGACCCATAGCCTCGGAGAAGAAATAAAGAGTACTCAGAGAAGACCTTGTGGATCCTCACTGAACACTGATATTTTCTTCTCCTACCACCCCTATTCTTTTGGTATGTGTGTATATTTATCTAACTTTATTTGAAAATGTCATTACACAAAAAAAGTTACAATATTGATTACATGCAGGGTACACGGTTGCTTGTCACAAGTTGAAAAGCTCCTCCAGCTCCTCAGATGGCGGGCAGGAACCATGGATGCAGTGAGCATTTCCTCTCTGGATT